AAAACACCATTCTAGTTATTAAGGCCCCAAACCCTACACCCTAAACCTAAGCCCCGGAACCCCTAAACTGGGGCTCATGCCCACACCTCTGCGCAGGAAGATCTCCGCGGTTGAGATTCGGCTTTTTGGCACTAACGGAGCCTTGGCCTCAAGATCCCGGAGCCACGGTTTAGGGTTTAGGGTTTAGGGTTTAGGGTTTAGGGTTTAGGCTTTAGGGTTCCAAAGCTACACCCCAAAGCCCTAGACCCTAAATCAACCCTGGGCCCAATCCTAAATGCAAACCCTAAACCCTGAAACAACACCTAATCGCCTAAGCCCTAAAACAAAGCCTAACTGTTTAAGCCCGAAAACCAAACCTAAATGCCTAACCGAAAGCAAAACCTGACTGCCAAAGCCCTATAAATCCTAAACCCTAAATGCCTAAGCCGCGAAACCTGGCAGAGAAGGTGAAAGGATTCCTGAGCGGCCTGCGTCTTCAAGCGAGCGCTAGATTGAGATTCCAGTTTTGTCGGGGGGTTTGGGTTTAGGGCTTAGTACTTTGGGTGCAGGGTTTAGGGTTTGGAGCTTTGGAGTGCAGGGTTTAATTAGGTTGAGGGTTCCTTATGAGGGAACGGTCCTTGTTGTTTTGGGGGGATCCCGCAGTTTTCCGCAACTACCGGATCTCGCAGGCCGATGCGCCAATTTTTCAGGCTCCGTGAGGAAGTTCGCAGGTAGTAGTTTGTCGTGCTGCAAACACTCTCTGTTTCCATCGGCTCAAAATCTGTTCATGCCGACAAGTTTTGCCACCCGTAGAAGATGCAAAGCCCCACCGGAGTTGCTGCCTCGCATGCAACTGTCCAAAAATGCAAACTGAAAGTATTGAAAAGTCACTAGCCAAAACAGACAATCACGAAGCAAAATCTGCGTTAGCCCCTGGTACACCTGGAAGCCGCTTCAGACACGTCGACGGATGCTCCAGTTTCCAGTTTGGGCTTGACACGGCCTAGGATCTGTAGGAGGGGCGAGGCTTGACAACATGATTTTTGCTTAGCTACAGTGCCTACAGCCTACACCCACCTAAACCACCAATGCAATCTTGTCTGGAACCTGGAAACAAACCCAGTTAATTCTCCTGCAAAGTCATGTTGCCAAACTCCGAGGAATCCGAGGCGGATCCTGTGGAGGGCCTCGCGAGTACGCCAACGGGGCTCCTTCATGAAGGAGTGCTGAGTGGCTTCGATGGAAGATGCGGCGAAGATGATGCCCCTGTTGGCTTGCAGATGTTCAGTGAGCCCTGCCACAGTGCAGAGGCTCAGGCTGCTACTGCTACGCTGTTACACCTGGAATCCGAGTTCTGGAAGACTGTGGACAAGACATCGAGGGTCCACCGACTCGGGCCATACCGCGAGCTGCGCTAGTGGAGAGGAGCATCGGAGGTCGAAGTCCAGCGGTGGGTTAAGCCCAGGCCGACTCGGGGCCTCCCAGATCGTTCCAGGACGAAAAAGCACCCGGCGTGAGCTTTTTGCAAGAGCGTTCTGCACACACTCCGAACCTCGCGGGCGCTGGAGTGCTTCCTCGTGCTAGTGCTACAGGCGAGCCTGAAGTCAGATTTCTGTCTTGCTCTCATGCTCGTGAAACGACGACTCGCCGATTTGCTCACAGCCTACAGCTTGAGCACCAAAAGCTTGAGGCCAGTGTAGCTTCGCTCAGCTTCCCAACGTCATGCGAAGACTCTGACAGCCAATCAGCCAGGATCTACACCCGTCATAAGGCGCCAACACCAACTATCCCATCGCCTCGGACCTTGAACCAAGAACCCATCAACCTGGGACATCAACCTGGGGACATCAACCTGGGGATACTCCCTTCTTATTCTCCCCGCATAGCTACATGGTGGCCACATTGCAAGACATCTTCAAAGCCCCGGAAACCTTAGCCTTAACCGACCCAACCCACCCTCGGCAGACGGTAACATAGAAGCCTGAATGCTTAGCAATACTACTCCTCAGGGTTCCTCCTTATGACTATACTACAGTACCCTAAACGTTAAGCCCTAAGGCCTATAATTCTACCGCGAGATCCGATCCTGGCTAATTGCTAAGGCCACAATATCACGTTTGCTCCCCAGCCCATGGCCGGCAGAAGTCTTTCGCGCCGCGCACTGGCAGCGAATGCCATCCTGGCTTGCTTGATCTGCTTTTTCATTTTGGGCCTTATAGGTTTAGGGTTTAGGGCTTAGGGCTTATAGGCATACTATAAGGGCCTTAAGAATTAGAATAGGGTCTTGGGGCCTTTAATACTATAATGACAATAAGGAACTCCCCCAAAATAGTATTGGTGATTATTTAGGCCCCTACATTAGGGTGTTGAGAATGTCTTGGTAGGGGTGAGGAAGTTTTGTTCGGGTTTGGTAGGGTCGTTAGACGGGTTTGAAGGGAGGTTCCTTGAGTACGGGTTTATGATCGGAATTCGATTACTTCATGAGGGTCTACAATTAGGATCGGCAATCTGTTGCAGCTCTCGTGGGGTATAGGGTATAGGTTCTAGTATGCTTGGAGGTTCATGAGACTTAGTAACTAGGGTTATAAGTAAGGTAACTAGACTTATAACTACTTATAACCCCAAATTAGGGTATTTATAACCTTACTTACTAAGTCCCATGATCCTCCAAGTGGGGATTTGGGGTGGGTTGAAGCCCTTCAACGCCCCCTACACACTCAAACTCCTCGCCCGAATGTTTAAGTTTAGGGTTTAGGGTTTAGGGTTTAGGGTTTAGGGTTTAGGGTTTAGTTCAGCCGTACAGCCGAAAGCGGACCACACCTACCGCTGTCATCTGCGGACCCCTAATCCCAAAACGAACCTTGGAAAATACATGCTCCAGAAATCTGGTCATCACCTCCGGAATCCGTGCTGCCAGGTCTATATCTCTGAGGCCGGCCCGTCGGGAATGATTCATTCAGGGTTTAGGGTTTAGGCTGATGGGGGCTTTGCCGCAGAGTGAAGGGGTGCATGTGATCATTGCATTGTCTCCGTGTGTGTGGAAACCCCCAACCAAAGGCTAAACCCCAAACCCCAAAGCCTAAACCCTAAACCCTAAACCCTAAACCCTAAACCCTAAACCCTACACCCCAAACCCAAAAAAGCCCTAATCCCTGAATTCCAAAAGGTCGTGGTCTCGGGCTTGCTGGGTAGGGCCTTGCGGCTGGGGAGGGCGTTGGAGCTTCCGGTCTGGCAATCCTACCTTTTTGGGCCGGAATTGGGAGTTTCCGAAAATAGGGGGATACCTCATTTTGGGGTATTTATAATAAGGATCCTACTATTTAGGGTACCATATTAGGGTCCCCTATTTTTGGAAACCCCCAATTAGAGTGGGAAATTAGCAGAGGGTTTTGGGACATACTTTAGGCAAAGCTGTAGTTTATTAGCTTTTCAGTTGTATAAGTGGCTGTGGGGAGAAACTTTGCTGAGTATGTAGGCTTGTAGATTAGCCCAGTAGTCGTGGCTCACTGTTGCTTTAACAACTAGTATCGCGGCCTATAGTATGGCAATCACAGGGAACCTTAAAGAATAGTATCGGTAACTGTTCAGGCCCCTATATTAGTCTGGAGTCCAAAGCCGGCAAATGCGCAGGGACGAGACCGGGCCACCATCGCCAAGATCGTGGCAGCAGGCGTGGCTGTGAAGAGGTCTGCATTTTGTGGGGTGTGCTCTCCCTTATGCAAACTTGCGAAGGAATGTCTGTACTTCGGATTTAATCTACGACTGCCTCGGAGCTCCTTGGTTTTCCACGTTCTCGGAATCTTAGCATATGCCATTTGTTTTATTGTGTGTATATATATACACATACACATACATACATTTGGAATTAGCTTCTATATGGCATATTATATAGCATTGATGATATCTTTGAGGCCTGCAATCCCAAATCCTCAAGCCTGACAATAATCTTCTAGAGTCAGTATAAAACCTTTGTGGAAGCCGCTTATGCGCCCACAATCCCAAGCTACATCCCCGTCTCAATGTGCTCTTTTCGACCTCTTAGCTCGGGTGGGACTTTCGTCCTGCAAGTCTGCATGCGAATGCTCAGGGTGAAGGGTTTTCGTGGTTCAGGGGGTGAAGGGTTTAGGGGTGTGACATAGGTCTTTGAGGTTGGGCTGGGAGTTGGGTTTGGGCACTTGGCAGGTATTTGGGAATTTTGCGAGCCTGGATAATCCCTATAGAACGCTGTTGTAACCTTTCGAAGAAACCTCGAGAGCCGGAGGTACGCAGCCCGGTGTGATCCTGGGTAATGAGTTCGTGGATCCGGTCTACAACCGGTCAGGCAGGAGCCCTACTGTACAACCGTCAATCTTAGTTCTCCAATACCCCACCTTTAGTAGTAATCTGAAAGGTTAACCTTTTATTTCCTTGGTTTGTTGGGGAAGTATGTAAGCAATAATTGCCAAGTGTGTAAGCAATAATTACCATTATTGTTCCTCAAGGTTCCTTATGATAAGCATAGTATACTGGGGTCCAAAACCCTATTCTAGTTGTTAAGGCCCCTGAACTGCGTGAACTGTTCGATCGGAGGTCTATGGCGTCTCATACCGTGTCATCTGGGTTTTGTAGGAGCCTTTACTCCTAAGCCCCAAGCCCGAAAACCTAAACGGAGTCCAGCAGACCAAACACCCAAAACCCCAAACCCTAGCGGATCTCTTGGTATCCTGAGGCCCCGGAGCAGGGCACCTCGAAGCGCCAAGCCCGAAACCCTCCACCTCAACTTCTCAAGTCGAAACATCAAGGCCGTCTCTGAGTCTTCTGCTAGATTTCGTGCAATCAAGACTTAATTAACTGTCTGGTGCTTAGTAGGGAATGGGGGAATGGATCCCTGTGATACTAATAGTCCCTATAACCCATTCCCCCATTTCCTACTAAGCACCAGACAGGTAATCTATCCCACAAGCTTCTTCTCTGTTGCATCACTCCAGCCTCCGCAAGCATTAGGGCTGCCGGGGGAGGGATGGTCATGAGTCATGAGCCCTTCAAGACCACTAAGTATGATGACAACCATAACAACAAAAACACCAACACAAGCAATAATAACACCATTACTAACAAGAACACCAATGCCAATAGTTCTACGAATAGTAGCAGTAGTAACAACACCGATTGTAGTAGCGAATGTTGCAACAAAACTAGTAGCAGTAATAGCTGTAGTAATCACAATATTTGCAATAATGCTCGTGCAACAAGAACTACAACAACAACAGCAACGACAACAACCACGACAACAACAACTACTAATACAACTGCTACTTCGACTGCTACTGCTACTGCTACTGCTACTGCTACTGCTACTGCTACTGCTACTGCTACTGCTACTGCTACTGCTACTGCTACTGCTACTGCTGCTGCTGCTATTGCGACTGCTACCTACTACTACCACTACCAGCACCACTACCACTACCACTATCCTCCTGCTGCTGCTACTACCACCACCACGACGACGACTACTACTAACAATAAACTAATCATAGTAGTAAGAATAATATGATCAACAATCTAATATCAATGTTATTGAGAACCATAAGAATGAGATTAATTGAGGGTAGTACCAATCAACACAATAATGTTATTCATTATTACAATTGTGAGAACCTTGCTAAGCCTGAACACCTAAACCCTAAAGACCCCAAACCACAAACCCCTAAAGCCTAAACCCCTAAACCCCAAACCCCTAAACCCTACACCTGCTATAGAGTCAGGCCTCACCTTGGCTTCTGCAGAGGCCTCCAAAGTGGAGGCGCTCTGAGACTGCCGGGTTTCCTGTCCGGTCCTGGGGGTGCGGGGCTCGGGCCAAACAAACATGTAATATGAGCAGTAACTTCCGGGGTTTAGGGTTTAGGGGTTTAGGGTTTAGGGTTTAGGGTTTAGGGTTTAGGGCTTAGGGCTTAGGGTTTAGGAACAACAGCACAGTAGTTGTAATAGTCATATAATAAGTGCGAGTGGCAAGAACAAGTATAACAGTAGCAGCAACGACAGTCAGAATGATATGAACTGCCGACATGGCTTTTGGCTGGCTTCGGGCTTTCAGAAGATTCTTCGCAGCTGCGCAAGGCTGACTTAGTCCAATTGGCAATGCATCTTTTCTCTGAGCCCTAAACCCTAAAATAACCCTAAACCCTAAACCCGAAACCCGAAACCCGAAACAATATAATGGTTTTAGCTGAAAGCATTGTCTGCCATGGACCGGACGCCGCTCCGACCTCCTCTGGCTTAGCGTTGGAACTCCGGGCAGGATCATAGCAAAACCACCGCGCCACCATGGAGAGATGCTTGCATAGTCAACATGAAGACAGAGCTTACTATGTAGCTAAGTTGCAAGGTAGGAAAATTGTAGGCGTTGCCTTCTTAGGTATCTTTTGGGTCCCGAAACCGGGGCTGTAAGATCTGCGCCTTCAGAACCGTCCGCTAGCCTAAAAAGAGTCGAGGGAGCTGTGCCGCCAGTTCGGGAAACCCATTCGCCGAGCCCCTCACACGCGACTCCTCTGCCAGCTCTTCTATAGGGTATGTAGGGTTTAGGTTTTTTGCTTAAACCCTAAACCCCGCAGCTCTGAACCCCTAAACCCTACACCCTAAACCCCTAAACCCCTAAACCCCCTAAACCCCAAACCCCTAAACCCTTAAACCCTAAACCCTAAACCCTACAACCCCCCAAGAGCCCTAAAGCTTCATTTTCCCTCGCATCCTTGAGCTCGCTTTGGCCTCGCATCCATGGAGAGTTGAGGCCCGTTCTCAGGGCTTTCGCAATGTGGCTTTAGGGTTTAGGGTTTAGGGTGTGGGGTTTAGGGTTTAGGGTTTCGGGGGGGATTACAGTATAAGGGCTCTAACTGTGCAATTATACAGGTCTTTAAAGGGATCTCATGGTGTTGCAGGGCTTCAGGAGTTCTAGGTTTCTAGGGTCTTTAAAGGGATCTATCAGGGCTCTGTAGGGGTTCTACATTAGAGGCGTCTCTAGCGGGTGGGGTTTAGGATGGGCGTGAATCATTACCAATGTCGTTCCCTTGAGTTCGTGATTATACGTACATTATACTGGGCCCCCTATTCTAGGATCTTTGAGTTCCTTATTACAAATATATCATAACTGACCCTTGTTCTACTTATTTAGGATTAAGGCCCCTATATTGGAGTTTGAGTCAAGATGGGGGCCCAGGTGTTGATAGCCCAACCCTGGATCGCCAACCACGTGCGCAATTCCTAGATGAGGGTTCGGGTGCATTTGGTTCAGGGTTTGGGGTTGTAGGGTTTAGGGTTTACGGGAGTCCTGGACACCCCAAAGGGGGACTCAACATCCTGCCTGACCTAGAGTGTAGCAGCAGGACGTGGATGTTACCCTATGTTGTATTCCTTGCTATTTCCTTCTGATGGGTTCTGTCCGTCAGCAACTAGGGTTCAGGGTTTTATGGCTTAGGGCTGTAGGTGGTAGCTCGTTGGGGGATGTATGTTGTAGTAGTGCTTGCGGAAGGTAGGTTGCAGCGTATTAGGGGTTGAGGGCTTGGGGTTTCGGACTTTCGTGGCGACATGACCATGGCCCGAGTCTAGCACCGGTTTGCAAGCTCCTCGCGAGAACCACAGTTTAGGGTTAGGGAGGTCTTTGTGGTTTAGGGACAAGATTCGAAGCACAGCATCGCCCTCCTCATGATATGCCCGGAATCCCATCCCAAGCCCCAAGACGAAAACCCCTCAACCCCAAAACTCCCAGGCCCTAAACCAAACCCCCTGAACCCTAAACCCTAAACCCTAAACCCCAAAACGAAAAACCCTAAACCCTGAACCGTAAACCCGAAAAAAAAGCAGCCTCCCTTTGGTGGCTTTCAGGGCTATGGCCTGGCCATGGACTTGCATGGCTGGGCAAAGCGAGCTCAGCAGGTGGGGCGGGGGGCGCGTTGGGTTTCAGTGCGTTTTCTTGGGGTTTGAGGGTTAGGGCTGGGCTTTGAAATGCTTTGAAGTTTTAGGCTTTTGGGGTCAAGGGTTTAAGTTCGGATGTAGAGCCCCGCGATTTGGGCTTCTGGTTCGGGATCGCAGCTTTTTGGCGGCGAGTAAGAATGTGGCATGTCCACAATCAGATCACAGAACCCCTTGCCCCAAACTTTTTCAACCCTTCTTGCTGATGTTTTTGGAAGCCTCTTTCGACTTTTGGGCCCCTATAGCTGTTTGAACATGTTCGTTTCAGGTGCTCAGGGGGTCCGAGCAGTAGTTTCCCTTAACCTGAAGCCCAAAACCCGGACCAGTCGACATTTTCTGGGCGCAGGGCGGAGTTCGACAAGAGCCTCAGCAGACCCAAGTTGCTTGGCCGCAGGGTTTAGGGTTTAGGGTTTAGGGTTTAGGGTTTAGGGTTTAGGGTTTAGGGTTTAGGTAGCTTAGGTTGGCTGAATGTTGTACTAAGGATATTCATAAGAGCCGTGCTTGATTTCTGGCACCTAATCCTGAAGCGCTTCTGGCATGATGGCCTTATCGACCCCATCATGATTATAGTAAAATTCAGCACAGAGCTTTATTTTAGCTAATAGCCGGCTCCCATGTTAGTCCCCGAGAGCAACCCGTATATTCAAAGGGAACGGTTTACCCTAAACCCTAAACCCCACACCTTAAAGAAAACCGACACCCTAAACCCTGAACCCTCAACCCCAACCCTAAACCCTAAACCCTAAACCCTAAACCCTAAACCCTAAACCCTAAACCCTAAACCCAACTGTTAACGAATGTTGCGTGGTGGGTGACCGAGGTTGGATGCAACGTTGGTCCTTGACTCATGCAAGGAGGCTCAACAAGGGGAAGGGCATTGTGGTGCTTTAGCGGACTTTTCAAAGAATTGTACAAGGTCCTATGGGGGTTCTATAGGGTTCTTGCAAAGAGAACAAGATGAGTTCTATTTAGCATGATTGTGTATCTAGGCAAGTAATGCTTGTTCTGTAGGCTTAGACTCCTCAAAGCCCTATAGAGCCCACAAGTCCAGCCCGCAAGAAACCCTGATGGCAACCCGCTACTGTATCTGTAGCTTCAAACATGTTTCTGACCATGAACCCAGATGAAGTCATTCATCCGGCTTCGGCTGAATGTGTCCAACGATACAAAGAGGGTTTGCTGCCATATATTTGGTGTCGAGTTGGTTGGGATCATGGCTTAGGATTTGGGGCTGAGGGTGAAGGGCCTGGAGGGTTAGCGCAGTTTGGGGTATAGGCTTCGAGCCGAGATGTGCTACATATTAGATAGAGCCTAGGAAGAGCTTCCACGACGAAGGTGGACATCAACAGGTTTGTGGGTTGATGCACGAGCACTGCAAACACGCCGAAGCCCACCTTGCCTTAGCGAGCATCATGCGCAAAGACATAGGGGACATGCTTGCATGCCCCTGTGAAACCCTGGTCTCAAGGATGTTTGGGGATAGAGAAATGGGAGTTTCCGAAAATTAGGGGTATCTTATTTTGGTGTCCTTATAATAAGGATCCTATCATTTGGGGTACTATATCAGGGCCCCCTATTTTCGGAGACCTAAAGGAGATCTTAAAGGAGCCCTGCCAAGTCCTCAGGAGGAGACTCCGAAGAGACAGTGCGGGCGCCTGGCTGGCCGTGGGATGCGTTTAGCTCGAGCTTCTCAAAGCCCTACTGAAAGCATGTACTTAGAGGTTCATGGGACTTAGTAACTAGGGTTATAAGTAAGGTAACTAGACTTATAATTACTTATAACCCCAATAAGGGAACTTACAACCTGACTTACTAAGTCGCATGATCCTGCAAGTAGGGACTTAGCACAGAGGCTACAAGTCGGCACGACCTCCAGGTAACGCTCTTATCACTGTACTTGTGACACTCCACCCTACACCCTAACCATTTAGGGTTTAGGGTTTAGGGTTTAGGGTGATTCAAGCACACTCTATGAGTCACAACAGCTCAGACATCTCCAGTACAACGGAACAGTGCTACTACTGACTCCGACGCCTAGATGAGAAGCCTGAAGACAAGCAGACAGTTCGAGCACAGTACACCAAAAAAACCCAACTTCATTCAATTCCAGTTCTCCAACTAGGGTCCCTTCTTAGGTACCGGGACTAGCACGACACCCTTGTAAAACGGGACGCTTAACGGGACCCTACTTTGCAGAGCTGCTCGAAAAGAGCCCTTGCGAAATCTTTTTGAGGCTGGTCGTGGTTTGGTCAAGAGCCCATGTCCTCAAGCCCTGAACGCTGAGACCCCGGCCGACCTCTTCAACCTCAAACCCTGCTATCCCAAGTTTTACGGTTCAGGGTTTAGGGTTTCGGGTTTAGGGCTTGCGAATGCTGTTCCTGATAGTCCGTACTTGTCTATGCTCGCATGAAGGCCCAAACCCTATTCAAGTTAGTGAGGGGCCTCTGTGTTAAAGAGTTCATCTACAAACGCTCGAGCGCTAAAGTCAACGAGACGGAATTTCTACGTCTGCCTTAAGGCCCTAATCTTGAACCTACACCCTAAAGCCTGCAAGCCTAAGCCCTAAACCTAAATCGCTAAACCCTTGAATCCTCCTACACCCCAACGCTCCTAATATAGAAGCCTAAATAATTACTAATCGTATGGTTGGGGATCCTTATTAAAATATACGATAAAGGAGCCCCAAACCCTATTCTAATTATTGAGGCCCCTACAGCAACCGATCTCTTCTTCCCTCGAGGCACACGCTCTTCGCCCTCGCCTCCCTCAACGTGAAGTCTGGGATCCTGGCGTTTAGGGGCCTGTAAAACAAGTAAAAAAGGGGCCTAAATAATTTCT